CTCAATTAGGTCAATATGTGTAAAGGGAGATAGAGGAATATCTATTTCTCCATCACCCTAATTGAATGAATGGTACGGAAATAGGAGTGAATGTATTTAGGAATGAACGTGAGCACGAATGGATTTGGAACTGCATGGGTTGGGTCCTGGAATAAACCTAGCTGTTGACAGCACCCCCGGAGCACGACCTCAACGGCTGGACAGATAAGATTGTGGTCTGTCCCCGGACTGCCAACTGGGAGGGAGAAGGACTAGTAGAAGCGAACAAGTTCAACTCGGCACATTTCTGTATGTACGCAGGTACTGTGCGGATGCGAGCCTATACAAATATAAATCCTAATGCAAACCCTTTCACAGAATATGGTAAAGTCTGAAACGCTTCTGGCAACTGAAATAAGTTATAGGCAGAACAAAACAATAGGAAATTGCCATAACAAGAAAGTAAACAATATATTTTCACATTGAAGAGTAAAAATTAACTATCAGCCTAGTATGCACTGAGATTCTTTGAATCGATTCATGATGCGGGGCAGAGTCGGGGCTGCGTTGATCCATTGTTGCGACGCAGCCCTGACTCTGCTCCGCGACAAACAATCGTGTCCAGGCCAAAATTCAGTTCACATTCATCAGTGCCTGCGAAAATGACGGAAGAACTAGCTCTCTCAGGTCTTCCTCTGGATTTGCTGCGTCATCGGTGTTCCTACTTCCTCTAGAATCTACCGTTGGCGATAAAAGCAACAAAGGTTCATAGGCAAACCAACTGCACTTCACTGGAGAGGTTCCACTTTTCACATTTTTCATTTTTGTATGTTGCCGACGGAACTGTCCTTTTAAAGTTTGTATTTTTTTTTCAATTTCGGCGATGTAAACACTGAATGTTTGAAACACTGAACAATGAATCCGGGGCAGCTCGGACTCAGGCTAGACGCAGCCGAGACTCCGTAGATTCAAAGAGTCGACTCAAAGAATCTCAGTGCATACTAGGCCTAAACAGTCATTTCTTTTTAACAGGAAATAATGTCCAGTAATGACCTTTTACAAATAATGCCTTATTGTACGAGAAACTCCTAAAGAATTTCTAAGCAAAGTAAAAATATTATCTATATATAAAGAAGAATTTTATAACAAGTGCGATGGGACAAAAAGTAAAACTTCAGTCTCCATATCGGTTGGAAGTAAATAATTATATTTCAATATATATTACATACTCAATTAATTAAGTGGAAGCTGATAAAATAATTAAAAATTTACTATCTATACGTACTGGAATTTTGTGAAAATTTTCAGATTTTTTCACATTTATAAATACATTAGAGTAGAAATGTGACAGTGAAATAGAATTTTCTATTTTTGTAATTGTCCCAAAAAATATAGGTTGGGTAGAATTTTATTTCAAAATAATAATTCACGTCCAAATAGAATTTTCTATTTTTGTAATGGTCCCACAAAATATACGGTTGGGTAGATTTTTATTTCAAAATAATAATTCACGTCCAAATAGAATTTTCTATTTTTGTAATGGTCCCACAAAATATACGGTTGGGTTGAATTTTATTTCAAAATAATAATACACGTCCAGAACGAAAAACGAAATAGGTTTTTCCGCATCCGGGGACAAAGTATATGCATCAAAATAATGGATATTAATATTTGCCGTTGCGGGGCCGAAAGTCGCCGAGGGGAAATCGACGAGGGCGTAGGAGCCGTGGAGCATTAGCCATCTGGAAGCCGGAAACCCTGCGTTAAATGACGTCCATTTGTCTCTTGGGCCGGTTCTGCAAACTTTAATTTTTATTTACCACCCCCGAGGGGGTCTCTTTTTGAATGTGTCACGGGGCGTTAAACCGCCCTCTCCACCACTTAGAACCGCGCGGGGAAAGCGGCAATAAAACTAAAGGTATAAAAGCAAAATTCCGATCTCCACCTCGCGCTACATTTCCTCTTCCGCTTGTAGTGAATGAATCTTGAAAAAATTACACTGTGTATATACTACACGAAGAGGCAAAAAGTGGCCACCCTTAATATTTTAAATTATCTCTTAGAAATCCTCCGTTTATTACATTACAACAATATTTTGTCCGTTTCAAAGAATTAGAGGTAAATAAATCATAGATAAAATCTCCCACTTGTGTTTACGATTGTATTTCTTAAATAAATCTTTTAATAGTTACTCTCTTATTTGTTGGTTTTTCTGTAAAGCTTCTTTCTAACTTATAATTAATTAAATTTTATAGTTGGGATAAAAAATTCAATGGTACGAACGGGATTCGAACCCATGTCCTTTGACTAAATACGACGCTGCTCTACCATTTGAACTATCGTGACCTCGATCCACTCGGGCACTAACATCTCGATTCGATCGAAATCGAAAATTCAAAAGATGTGGTTGAAATGGGAAGTTAGTGTCCGAGTGGATCGAGGTCACGATAGCTCAAGTGGTAGAGCAGCGGCGTATCTAGCCGAAGATCATGGGTTCGAATGCCGCTCGTGCCATTGATTTTTTAATCAACTCGTCCCAAAGGTGTTCGATACGGTTTAAGTCGGTACCACATGCTGCCCGCTCCAAACCATGAATTGAAGCTTGTTGTAAGTAAAGACCAACGATTCTACCCGTGCATAAAAATTTATTTGTCGGTATAAAGGACTTCTTCTCATAACGATGTCCAATGTTTGACGATAGGCATGTCTAGAAATGCTTGCCCAAACCATAACACCATCACCTCCTTTATTTTTCCGAAGTGAAAATGTTGCGGGGATATGGCTCTCCTGATCTTCTCCAAACACTGGAGCATAATCCAGCTTCTGAAAGTCTTCATGTTACAGTGAGTAAATTGACACAAATTGATATCATCATCGATAGAATACGAGGTCTATACCAAATAACTCATTCTATTAAATGATCTTTTTATATAAGGTTTTGGTTGAAATGAGAAAGTTGGTGCCACAAGCGGGATTGGAACCCACCACCTTCTAACCACTTGAGCTAGACACGCCGCTGCTCTACCACTTGAACTATCGTGACTTCGATCCACGCGGACACCTCTCTTCATCCTAACCTACATCCTTTCGAATTTTCCCTTCTTTTTGCCATTTTTTCCCAAATGTCGTGTAATCAGGGTTCGATCCTCGGCGACTTTTGAAGTGGCCACAGGGAGCTGTTAGTGAAGTTATACTTCGTTTTACTTATTAAATCCATTAGAATTAGTGGTCTATACCAAATAACTCATTCTATTAAATAATCTTTTTATTTCCAGGTTTTCGAGTATGTTTATTTTTCGTCCTGTTTGAGCCTCTTGAAGTCAATTTATATTTGTGTATATTCAGTATATTTAGTGGTCTATTGACCAAATTACTTCTTTCAATTAATTAATCTTTTTATGTAAGGGGTCGGTTGAAATGAAAAAGTTGGTGCCACAAGCGGGATTGGAACCCACCACCTTCTAACCACTTGAGCTATCGTGACTTCAATCCACTCGGACACCATGTCCCCATCTCAACCCACTTTCCGAATTATCCCTCCTTTTTGCCGTTTATTCAAATGTTTAATAAGTAAAACAAGAATTGGATTTGGAAGAAAAGAAAAGAGAGAGACATTTGGAAAAAAAATGGCAAAAAGGAGGGCAAATTGAGAGGTGAGGTTGAGATGGAGAGTTGGTGTCCGAGTGGGTCGAAGTCACGATAGCTCAAGTGGTAGAGCAGCGGCGTATTGAGTCCGTGGGTTCGAATCCCGCTCGTGTCATTAAATTTTTAATTTCAACCGACCCCTTACATAAAAAGATTAATTATTTGAAAGAAGTAATTTGGTCAATAGACCACTAAATATAATGAATATACACAAATATAAAATGGCTTCAAGAGGCTCAAATAGGACGAAAAATAAACATACTCGAAAACCTGGAAATAACGAAACGTAGCTCATTTAATGAAAATACAGAGTAACAATATCTCTCACATACCATGTACAAAATTTAATAAAATTGTGCGTGTTAAAAAAGAAAAGTACATGAATCGACCGGAAGAAAAACCCAAAAATTAATCTGAAGGTAACTACAAGCAGATAACGTTGCTTACCCGTTTTATATCAAAAACGATGATTTAACATAACGAAAATCACCAAATTACAAATTAATTACTCCTCTGATTATAAGAGAAAATGTCACAACTGTTATATTAAATTGGATAAATTAAATTGAATGTTAATATAATATAGAGTTTATTATTAGACTTTTTCCTGCTTAATCTATTATGCTGGCGAATTGGTAGAAGTGATCGTTTAAAAAGAAAAAAATAACATAAAACGGTTTTCCACACGGTTGATACGAAATTAGATTTCCGTTCTCCGTTTAAATATGCTAAAAATCACCTCGCCGGTGCAATATGAGAGTAAAAGATAATGAAGCGTCAGCCCGCATGAAACAGGAATATCAGAGCGAATCATGGCTCATGGATGCGAACATCGAAGCAGCTTTATTGGGGCTTAAGTGGACCAATGGACCGGAGCCGGACTGTAACGTCATTAGCCATCCAGCTATTCCGCCGCCTCACGCCATCAATCCGAAATAATCACTCGTTTCTATGTTCATCCATCATTTAGTCCGGCTGCGTCGTCCCGTCTTGCCCACCGATTTATTACAGTTACGTTTGAAATCTCTCGTTATTTATTACTAGAAGTGCCCATTTCAATCCGATTACTTTGAATATCTGGCAAACGTCGTAATATCTTACACACAAAAATAATAAAACATAAAGAAGTAAAATAAAAATTTTTTTCTTCATTTTTTCAAATTCTGTTGTGTTCATTTAATTTTGCCCTATTTTAAATTAATAAAAAACATTTGAGAGGAACGGTAGGGAACAATGTTCTGACAATTTATTTGTCCAGGTAAATAACAATATAGTCCATACTAATCCAACGCACATAGTGGACTAAAAATCGGATTGGTAAAATGTCAACACGTATGTATATAAATACAATTTCTCTTTGAAATCAAAAGATTCGCATAGTTTTAACCCAAGTTGTTATTGTTTTTGCCATGCCCTTGTGTCAACGACTTATAACGAATTTCTATTCCCAAAAAATCCATAGGTATATTCCCCCTTTTCCCGAGAAAAAAAACAACTATGTTTTAAAGTCATATTAATTGAAAATATTTTTTTTATTATTTGGAGATCGTGAGATGCGGTCTGATGTGACGTAGGTTGGAAAAAAATTGTCTTTATCGTACCGACGTTTCGATCTTTATTGAGATCATCTTCAGGCCTCAAAATGTCTGTTTTCTTTTAGGTGTGTCGTTAAAACACCAAACCGTATCTCACGATCTCCAAATAATTAATTAACGGTTACTAAACACCACATTTTTGTTTAGTTCAATCTACTAGTTTCTAATACATATTAAAAAATTTACAATTTAAAAAATTTGATTAAACCGTGTTTGTTTGATTTCAGGACTACAGTTTCCACGGATTTATGTTTTTACGGCAGAAGGTGAGACATTTTTTGTAAAATTCTATTCATTATTAATCACTATATTTTGCTCAACCTACGAGTCAAAATTTTCTCACAAGGATTAAAACTTACGTTAGCCAATTTACGAACAATAAATAATTAAATTCGTGTTGGGTAATTATGCCAACGGATTTCACGTATAATTTTATAGCCTCTACTAAAAAGAAGCACTTTATGTATAAATAGAAATAATGTATTTATTTCTGATAAATTCAAGTAAAGGCGGTTCATATTTGATCTCCTTCATGGCAGCTGTAATTTGTGATTCCATTGTATTGAACTTATAAGCATACGTTACTTACATAGATAATTATTTATTTACCTTGCGTATTATCAACTATAATTTTAAAAGCATACATTCTTTGAAAGCTCGTCGGAGGGACTAAGCGTTTCCTTTCCGATGAGCCTTATTCCATACTGTTTTAAATTTATGTTGGTCAATGTCAGATACAATTTCCATGTTTTTTTTAAATAATAAAGCCAAAACATTATTTATTACAATTCACTATTTTTCGTGGTCCGCTTGACCAGTTAATATCTTTCAATTAATTAAGGTTTTCAGTTGAGATAAAAAGTCAATGGCACGAGCGGGATTCGAACCCACGACCCTCGGCTTTATACGCCGCTCTCTACCACTTGAGCTATCGTGACTTCGAACCACTCGGACACCAACTTTCCATCTCAACCCCACCTTTCGAATTTTTTTCTCCTCTTTGCCATTTTTCAACTGTCGTGTAATCTATTCGATTCTCGGCGACAAATGAAATGGCCACGGAGGCTTTAGTGAAGATATACTTCATTCTAACATTGAATTCTTTAGTTTTCTTGGTCCGGTTGCCCATTGTGATAGTTTGATTATTTATTACGATTTATTTCTACGTTTTTGGAAATTTACACCCATCATCAGTAATCTATTTTCCTTATAAAAATACGTAAGCATAACATTAACATTCAGAGTTTACATCAATTTATTAAACGTTTACCATGATTACTTTATCCATATTGTATTTTAAAAGAAATGACAATCTTGCATCTGCAATTTAAGTTTATTTTTATAATTTTTGTATTATTTCTCAGTAATATTTAAAGAAAGGATAGAAAATTTACATGCTGACAGCTAGCATTGTCATATGCTTTAAATACAATATGGATATAATAAATTATTAATCTAATGGTATGCAAGGTAAACATTAATAAATTGAGTTAAATAAACTATACTAATGTTATGTATATGTATTTTTGTAATTAATATGGGTTGCTAATAATGAGTGTAAATTCTCTAAACGTTAAAGTAAATGAAAATAAATAATAAATCTACTTTATTGTGTAAAAAAACCACATGGAAATGTGGTCTGACATCAAGCAACACATTTGAATAAGACGGATTAGTCTTAATAATTCTATACTTTAAATAAAACTTCAAAATTATAATATTAAAATCTGATATTAATAGTTTTGGAGGTAATAAAAATAATTACCAGAAAAATATGATGATGAGAAAAATAAAGAGAAAAGTTGCTGATGCAAAAACCCCAGTATTTAGCATCAGAAATGTTCGAGGCAATAGCACAGAAATAATTTTGCTTAATAAATCTTCATTTAATCTTTATTAAGGTAAAACGAAAAGATTAAATGTGAAATGAGAGTAGTCCATACAGTATAACTCAATTTTCCTGATTACTTTTAAATTTAAACTTTGATTATATTTGATACAAATAGGAACTTCGCCAGAAAATCTGTCATTATTGATGTAAAAATTGGACTATCATTATAAGGTAAAAAATTATTGTAACAATTTAAGAACTTCACACAAATTAAACTAGTAATGAAGCCCAATTTTTAAGGAGCTTTTGTTTGTGGGAAAAAGAACAATAAAACAGTTGCGTAAGCGACAAAAATAGAAGCTAAAAATAGAACAATGAAAATGATTTATAATAGAAAACATGAAGGAAAATAAAAAAAAGTAAAAGAAGAAGATGAAATGATTTTGTATGGGTTGGGAATAAGTGAATAAGTGGAATTTTGGGTCAAGTTGAAATAGTATGCTGAATCAGTACCCTTGCTGTCAGGACAACTCATAAAATCAACTGGGATAGTATGGTAGGGATGTGGGAAATTTCTCATCTTCAAAAAGGAGCTGGAAAACTGAATAAGTAAACTTTTATTGCTCTTCAAAATTCACTCACGAAATCCGCTTTAAATACTTACAATTCATGCAGAATTTATATATTCATATAAATTCTTTGAGGATGTTATCATAGTACTTTTTTCATTAGCATAGCATTTGCTATTCGACAATATATTTCTTATCTGTATATTTAATTCAAGAATAACATTAGTGCTTTAGAATAAGATAAAATTTGTAGAATTTAGGCGTACAAAACGATTTACCAAACTGGACAAAGGGAAATTGTGTCCACTCGGGTTCAGTGTTTCGGGGAAAAATTCTCGGAAGTGGAAAAGAAAGACAATTGCCATCTCCTCGTGTGAGGCGTCCCTTCGTGTGATTCCGTGGAATCCGAGCCTCGTGCAATAAGTACCAGCCTATGAATTAAACATAAACCCTGAGAATTATGGAGAGGAACAGACACGACCCTGTTCCCCTCCACATAACACTTCCTGCCACCCCCAGAAACCCAACGACCGCCTCCGAATTCATGGGCCTCTGATGGTAATTGCTGGTATTGGATTTCGGTTTCTTTCATACGTTTGAATTTAGGAAGGTTCATGTTTTCTTTTAGAAAATGGGCTTTTGCTTAATCTGACAGAAGAAATACAATACTTAATATTTTTCAAGCATTTGTTACCACCTCTTTTGGAATTAGTAATGTATAATAACCTGCGAATCATCACGCCATCTAGACTATTGGTCATCAACCACCAAATGCATTTAAAAGAACTCAGCGCACTATTCTCTTGCACTGGATAGATTTAGAAAACCTGTTGAAACTCCTCGCCATCGTCGTCCAAGATACATTTTTAACAACTTGGATCTGTGCAGTTTATAAGTATTAATTTAAAAGAGGACTTATTTAAAAGACAATGTTGTCACGCATTGGGCTGGTGCAAAATTAAAGCAGGTTTTGAAAATTTGTTTTATTTTGGCATGTCATCAAAACAAGGTAAAATCAGTGGTAAGTGAAATTAGTATTTAAACATGATTATACCCTCCTTGATCAAAAATAATTATATTTCTTTTATAAAAGCCAAGTCTAGGACCGCCATAAAAATTTATCCAGAGACAAGAAAAATAAATTCCCGGCAATACTGTTTTGAAACCCGAACCGCACTGTCGCTAATGGAAGTGGTGATGGTTACGACGCGTATTTGTCTTTATCAGGCCGGTGTGAATTTAAATGAAATTTAGGCCGGAGTGTAAACGATCTCAGAGAGTTCGCGTTGTTTACTGTCGAGGCCGCCGTTTGTTTTCCGTCAAAGCCAACAAAAACAACCCCCTTGCATGTAGCCGCAGTCAAGAGTGGTTCGTTTTCATTATTTCGCTAATGGCAACATCCCTATCCATCAAAGGGACGATAGGATTTGATCCTCATCCCCTTCGGGCTGAGAGCTCTTCTTACTCCAATTAAAACAGTAAAAATAAAATACATTCAAATAAAAGAAAAGTATTTTTTATTCAAATCGGTGTTAATTTCTTTTCTTTTTTAATCTGTAGCAAAAAAGGAGAAATTTTTATTTATTGAAACATACTGTTTTAAGTGTTGCATTTATACATCTAAAGGTTTCGTATATCTTAAAAAATAGTCGATAATTTATTTGTTGAAACAATTATAGGAACACTCTAGATCAAATCTGTCAAAATTGCATTGTCTTAATAATAAATAATTATACACAATGACATCGGTTTCACTTGAATTATATAACATTGTATTGGGTTGTCCGGAAAATAATGCAGGATTTTGGTATTAAACAAAAAAAAAGAAACTAGTTACTTTAAAGCAATGTTCTTTAATCAAAATAATTTCCCATACNAATCCTGTAAACGTAAACAGAATATTTTATATAGATTTTTTTTAATGAAAACTTAAAATCCTGCATTATTTTCCGGACAACCCGATATAATGTACAATGTAACAGTAATATTACTATTGTTTATATTGCACCATTAAAAATATGTTTTATTCCACTTAAATTTATTTACTTTAAATTTTATTGCAGTTAAAATTTTAAATCACCATGTTTAAAAAGTTTTAATTTTTCTATTAACTTTTATTTACGAATTTTCCTTTCAAACGAATATGTATTTTGAAATTTCTTTTATTTTGCATTTTGGATTTTTAGCATAGTTAATTATTAAAAGTTGGAAAAGCAATCTCTAGGTCACCATATAAAATAGAATAAACAATTCACAAAACTGATCGACTGATTTTCACATGCTATAGTGATAATAGAACGAACAATATTAGCCACTCGGTCAAGAATTTGTGCTGTAAAAATAAATAAAAGAAGTAATTTACGTAATTTTTAAAATACGATTTTCTCCTTTATTTTGCATGTATATGAAGGTTATTATATCTCACTTGATCAGTTTTTTTTCTTTAGAGTAAGGGTACACAGGGTGTCCTTTTATATTGCTCGATGGAATTTCTCTTGAACGAATGTAGCAACTAAAGAAAAAATACGTTTTTAATATTTTTTAGTCTAGTTTGAAGTTTTTACTTTTTTTAAGAAAAATTATACGGGGCACCTTAGGCCCAGTTCAACTTCAAAATTTCAAATACGATTCTATTCTTCCTGACATATCATTTTAAAGGATTTTATCTCACTAAAAATTTTAAAGGATTTTTTACACTAAAAACAATGGTGCAATTGGATTTTGCATTGGTCAAAAAATGACAAATTTATGGCCAAAAGAAACCAGCAGGGTAACAGATTAAGGGCATGTACAAAAATCCTAGAGCTACATTCTATACTTCTTGGCTACTCCTTCCTTCTCGTGTAATTTTCCTTTGATGTTAAAA